TGACGATTTGTGGCCTCTGCGTATATGGTACCTATTGCACATCATTAGCACAGTGGTCAACAATTATAGGTTTTACCGTCGTCGTTAGTATAATATTATTCTAGCAGACAAATCGTATTTGGAAAAAAAATCACAATCAACTCGAGTGCGTTTTATTGCTAATGCTTCTTCCGAATCGGTGACAATAATTTACAGCCCTATTGTTTCGTTTTTATTTTTTGCTTCTAACGAACTCATCCTCTAATATTCCGCAATATTGTCATTATAACATTCACCGCCACTGTTTCACAGAAGTGACTAACCCACGTTAATATATTATTATTATCATCACCATTGTTGTGACAGGTATATTAAGCTTTTCCTAAAAAAATACGTAGTCAAATTATAATCCATCGATCAAATATTTACATTATAAACTTTAAATCTTGATTTATAATAGAGTTTGATATTATTAGTTATTAATTATTATCATATTATACATATTTATTTTGACGGACACTTAACCTAGTAGATCCAACTACAAAAATAAAACAATAACTTGAATTTAGAATTGTATTTAAAAATGGCAGTTATAATATCAAATCATGATGTCATGCAAAGATATTACATATAGTGTATTAAAATTGTTGACTGTTTAGAATTGAACAATTTTAATTTATGAATTATACTGCTGTAAACAGTTTAAAATAGTAAAACAATAATTGACATAATAATAAATCAAAGTTAATTTGAAGAGTATATTTTGTATGTATCTTAGCATGTACTCATAACTACACAATGCGATATTTTCTAACAATTAACTCTAAAACAACTGTTAATAAATCGTCTCAAAAAGTATGCAAATATTTGAAAATATATATTTTTTGCATTTTTTAAAAAAAAAACCATTAATTTAATATTTATGAGTATTTAAAATTACAATGAGTGAACAATGGTTTGTGAGGTAATACCTGTGTCACACTATTCCACTTATCTAAATATTAAGTAATTAATATTAACTACTTGTTCGAAATTTGATTTTTATAGATTGATATTCTCTTTCTCTCTCTTTCAAAAAAAAAAAATGTTATTTTGTTAATGACTCAAGACTATGACATAATTATATTTCCAAAACCATTGATGATTTCCGGAGTAATAAGAATATAGAATATTTAATGTAAAGGAAGCATTCAGTAATAGGATTGTAGTAATCATCTATATAACATAAATATATATAGTGTACGACGTAAGTATATCGTTTAATGCAAATACGGGTATAGTCATTAGTCATATTTTCAACGTGTTAACCGACCCAAATCGAAATCGCTTTTATCTTTTTAAACAATCACAACATTGACAACGATGTTTGCGGCAAAACGTGACAATAAACTAAAAGAAAAAAATATGAAGTAAAAAGAATAAAAACATAAAAAAATAGTTCGCTTTCAAACCTACCTACATAACAATGTGAAAAACACGTGAAGAGGTATATGCTACGTAAAATAACTAAAAGGCGACCGAACCAGTTTTTTTTTTTTTCGTTCAGAGATGGTTTGTTTTTTGTTTCATGCGGTCTCATATACGGATTTTGACGGTAAAAAATATGATAAAAAAAAAGAAATGATTGGACAACGGTAGGAACCAGCTGACGGTTGTGAATCCGCTGTTGCTATATTATACATTTATAATACGCTTTATAATAGGTTTATATGGTATAGACTAGTTTAGAGTTTCGACGGTATAATATATATATATATATATATATATACACAGACATTATATTTACGAACCGGTTGATCCGATCTGGTTTTGATCGGTCCTAAAGGCGGCGGCGGCGACGGCAGAGACGACAACGGCGAAGACGACGTCGACGACGACGATCGACCGTAGCTCGGGGCCCCGCGAGCGGAACGAAGAATGTGACCTCTACCTTTTGCCTCCGCCGCTGCACGTCGAACTTTTGAGGAGAGAATACACACGCGCGCACACACGCACACACGCACACACACACAAACACACACAAACACACGTACACACACACGCACGCACGCGCGCACAGATATGTATAACGCACACCCGTCCGGCCACGGCAGTCCTTGATCTCGTGAGGTCAGTGTTAAAGGTCAGACGTGATGGTTTCACCGTGAGAGACGTGTGGCCGTCGCACGTACATTATTATAACCAACGAGGAAGCCGCTCTGCGTTCGGTGCAACAGTAGTAGTAGTAGTAGTAGTAGTGGTTGTATAAATACCAGTGGTAGAGTATAGACATATAGTAGTGACGTGTGTGTGTGTGTGTGTGCTGGCATACTAATGTATAGCCAGTAAAGAGTTATGTATTATAATCTTATAATATTGTTGTCCGCGCGCGCGCATTTTGCCGAGCGTATTACATAGGTAGCGTGTGTACAAGAAACGAGCAAAACATAAATAATACCATAACATTATATTTTTGATATCATGATATCATAAAAATATTTCGGTACGGTGCACGTCGTCGTCAGTGGCTACGAATTTAAATTTTTCGATTTATTTACGATTACAACTTAGTAGCTAGCTATAGTATACTGCAACAACAAGTCCTTACAAGTTGTGTATAATTAAATATGCCTCTAAATACATTTTCTGTTTTCGTAAATAAACCACGTTCTTAAAATCATTCTTGGACTGCAACGGTAGTAAAATATACCACTGTTCCGAGGAACTATCCATAATTCACATGTATATTTTGAACCACGCTTTTATTTGGTTTACCTACCATGCAACATGATTCCTAATTTTGAACATGAAATCGTCCTAAGTGAATTCAAAAAAAAAAAAAAAACAACCGTAAGTGACTTATATGCACTTTGGTAGGATCATCGAAAGTGCGAATCAACGTGATAACCGTGGACAAGGCTGGGTTATGAACTAAACACCTGTTAATACGCTATTGGCATGAGTGATAATAAGATTTCGCGTGATCAAGTTAGAACAAAAATCTTATTCTTCTTTCTGCTAAATAATTTACCGTTGAAAAAGTGGGTTCTCATTTGAAAAACAGAAATTGGTGTGACCTAATGTAGCACAAAAATCAGATTAAGAATTACTGCGTTGTCGAAGTGAAAAAAAGGTAAACATGCTTGGTAAATCACTGTATATATGGCCTACGTTAAGTACAGAGGTTAGAAACCATCCGTACGGTGAGTTTTTTCTTGTTTTTTTTTAAAAAAAAATATTATTTTCTCGTTTTATGCGGAACACGTTTAATTGTAACGAAATAATAAAAAGCTTTATCGGTTCATTGACGACTGTATATTGTTGGTAAATGCTGCTTGATAAAAATTGCATTGTGTGCAAATAATAGTTAATTTTATATATTATGTGTGCGTATATACCTACGTCTGTTGAATTACAATCGACTGCAGTTATAAAGTTCATTTTATATTTTGCTTTACAGAATTCGATGAACATCTGTGTCATACCAGGTTCATATTATGTAACATGCAATTTTATCGTCACGTGAAATATTTACATGTTTGTACCATAATATAATAGTAGAAGTATGTCTCTGATTCGAAAGTTATTGACAGGTGAAAAAACACAATTGTTGAATGCAAAAAATATAAAATAATTATTCTTTATCACAAACTGTAGATATAATGAAATGAACAAATCATTTATTATGTCGAATAATTTTTCACTGCACAGTGCACATTACTTTGCGTACCTCAAACAATAATAATTGTATAATTTCTTTTAAAATTAAATAAAATGTTTTATGATCCCCTGCCAATTTTATAAGAAATTAAGAAAACGTACATCGCCATGAAGATAAAATAAAAATTTCAAGTGTGAAAAGATTTTAAATTATTTTATGTGGTCGGATATGTACACATAATGAACATATTTTTAATCTGGGACACAATTCGTATATTTATAAAGGTTATACTATGATGGAATTTGGATGCCGCTACTTATACAGAATATATTGCTATCGTGCGTTTAACATGAAAAAAATGTTCGGCGGCATTCGGTATACCTCTTATGTCTAAATACATATTATAATTGCAATTGAAGTTAAAAATTATCATATTATACAATGCAGCGCGTGTGTCTGTATATGTTTATATATGTATAAATACGCTGTTGATAAGATCTAATCGTTCCAATGAGATCGTGCTCTGCGTAATAATAATAATATAATATATTTTATTAATATCGCGTCTTACCGTCACCTCGTCCTTGCACTGGGCTTAAAAGACTAGCGGTGGCAGACGATTTGCCAATGATCGGAGGCGTTAGTTAGGTCGTACATAATAATATATAGATATATTTAATATTGTATTAAATTTGTACATAGATATATACAATATATTATAACGACATTCGCAGGTGGTATACCCAAGTATACCCATAATGACATTAGTTGTAATATAAACGTATGGGTCATCTTTATTTGTTCAGTAATGTAACATACGACATTAACTTGTTTTGAAGTATTCCAATGCACACGGATGGTTAAATGGTGAAAGTCATAATAATAATTATTGAAAAACTCGATTTCAAGATCGATGACGTAAAAAGTTTATATCACATTATATTACATCACAGCCAAATCTTGAACGTGTTTCGTTGGGAAGTTCCACTACTTACAAATATGTTTAATTTTATCATTGATATCTTTTTGAATTGGATATATTTAGTCGGATCTAGGTAGTCAGCATTAAGTAGGAACACAAGAAAGATATTAGTATTTGACGAAACATGAAGGTGGTTTTATTTAAAGATACAATACGTCGCTTCAAAATATTATTTTCGAGTGTACTCTGTCATAAAAAAAAAAAAACAAAAAAAAACGTACGTTACATTCATATTATACGTACAAAAAAATAAAATAAAAATAAAAAAAAATATCAATATCGAATCTTAATAACCACGTACAAATTATAATTAACTTGCAGATATATTATGATAATGTAAACCACCCGTCGATATCGTTGTAAATTGACTAATGTGTATATTGTGTTTGCGTTTTTCAGTGTTTCCGGGAGCAGTCGATCGACGGGACAGCGTTGCCGCTGCTCAGCGAGGACCACCTGACCGGAACCATGAACATGAAACTGGGACCGGCGCTCAAGTTCCGGGCCGTGCTGGCTCAGAAGTTGGGAAACTGCGCGGTGTGCATGCACTGCGCCCACTGTCACGGCGCCCAGACATACGGTGCCGGGCGGCACAGCCCCGTCCCCGGCAGCAACAACAACAGCAACAACAACAACAACAGTTCGTCGTCCGCTCAGTGCTGAACAGCAGCGCCGTTTTCGCGTCGACGAAGTGGCAAAGTCCGTCCACTTTACGCGCACGGGGCGTTCGACGTGTTCGAAAACGGACATACTGACGTCCTGTGTGAGCGGTAGCGTATTACCGTCAATCGTTTTAACTATTTCGTTTGTATGATATACATTCGCCAACAGTGTCCCCTCTGCTAATCGCGACGTTCGCTTTTCAAAACAAAATATCGATATAGTCCATTTGAAAAATCATAATATTGTGTGTTACAAGACACCGTTTTTGTGATAAAAATCATCGTGTTCGTGTCCATCGCGTCGAGTCGATTATGGAAAAAAAAAAAAAATAAAAAAAAATACATTATTCAAATTATGGTAAATTCCAAAAGTCATCGATTTCGCCGTTTCCCTGACTTGTTTTTATCGCGTTGAATTTATCAGTATTGTTACGTATATATAGGTAGGTACTAATTTAATAATATTGTTTTCATGCGGTTGGACAGCTAATGGTCATTTTTATTTTTATTTTATTATTATTATTATCATTATTTTTTTTTTTGAGCTTTTGTTAATATTTTTACTATTACTTTACTTAAATATTCTATAACGCGTCTAATGTCTATAAAATATTATTTGTATGTAGGTAGTTTAGTTTAAAATCTATATTGTATGATGTATAAAATATTACATAGTTCTCTGTTGATCATTATTATTATTTTTTTAAGTTTCTTGAAATTAATATTATAATACGGATTGGTCGTTATTGGTTTAAAGTTATAACTTATAACGTAAGTAGATAGTATTTAATAACTACAAGTGAACACAATATACATGTCGTTCTTATTGTCAGGCGATATCTCAAAAAATTTAAGGCATGTAAAAGATTAAAAAAAAAACGTTTTAAGAACATGCTATTTTACATTTACTATTGTTAACTGTTCTGAATATTAAAAGTTGATTGTACCTCTTAAGATGTTGTCAGTATTGAGTTTCGAAATAAATACCTTACATAAATTGGTCTGCTTTAATGCTCAATATTATCCGATTATACTTGAGTTCATAATAATATAATATGTTCACTAAAAATATTCAAATCGTTTACGCTATGTATGATGTACCAGTTTACACAGTGCCTTAGTGCCTTCGTTTTGTATTATAGTTATATTATATATATATACATAATTTTTTTTTTTTGTATACAACAGTTGAATTATATAATTTGAATTCAATTAGTTTATGATTTATTTTGAAAATTATAAATCGTATTAAATATTTTGTAACGAATATTTATTATTTAAAAGAAACAATATGACGTTATTTACCAATTTAAATTTAATTTCGTGACGAATGAATTATACAGAAAAAAAATATAATATATAAATATTTGTTGATACAATTAATATTTGTGGACTGTTGACATTTGTTTAGTTATTTTTTTTTATATATATATATTATATATTATTAATTAAAACATTGTAATTGAGAAAAATAAAATTTTCTCGGATTATCAGGGCTGATTTAGTGCAATTTTTATATGCAAATTATTACAGTGATTTCATTTATGTAATCACAAGTATGTAGTATTTGCATAAGTGTATGGCATTTTTTTGTTTGATTTTTTTTTTTTAATTATGTAAAGAAATAAAACAAGAAAAATATAAGCTGTTATAAAGCTATAATATAATTTATGTCTAATGTGGTTTTTTTTTATTCTAAGAACTTTTACGTAAATCTTCGCTTTTTATCTCCCGAATAGATGTTTTATTTAAAGTAGTTTGTATTCATTATTTTGATATGGTATACTGCTATGCCAAATAGGTTTGATCCTAGTGTGGTGGTCAAGCAGACGACTGCAAATATAAAGACCAAAGAAAAAAGCAATGTGTATATCTAAACATATAGTATATGGTTTATACGCTGAATTACGTTTATGAAAAAAAATATTAGTGAGTTAAAATAATAAAATTTCAAGAACAAACCACGTTTAATATATTATTAGATATCAGTGTTGCCCAGCCTAACTGCAAGGTGCAATGGGTGCTATACCTTTACAGAGTTTGCAGGGGATGGGTGTTCAAGCCTGAGTAAATTATTATAAATACTTTATTAGCTGAATGGATTAAATTAAACAAAAGTAAGTAGTAGGTAATAACTAATAATATTATAGAAGTTTGTATAATCATACAGTCTGTAATTAATGTTTAGTACTTTATTATAACAAGATGACTAATTGTTATAAGATCAATAGATCAATAAAAAAAAAGGCGATTTGTACTGTCAATAAAAGTGTATAAGTGGCTTGGCGTGGCGCGTTGGCTGCTTCCAGTTGCGGAATGCCACTGGGAGTAAGTAACGGCCACAGCTACTAGCTCTCGGATGGGTGACCATTCGGGATCATAGTGGTTAAAAACCTTGCCACACATACACGTGTTTGCTATCAACCGTATCAATCGTAAAAAATACAACCTACCGAACCAACCTTACTTAAAAAAAAAAAAAAACCCAAAGGCCTTAGTAGCCGCGGGTCAAAAAAAAAAAAAAAAAAAAAAAAAAAAAAAAAAAAGTGTATAAATATAATCAATGATATCATAAACAAATTTAAAGTACAACTTTTGATATATTTTGGTTAATAATAAAATATTTTATAAAATTTGTATTGAAGTGATACTTTAATTTTGGATTTAATTTGTTATGTCGACGGAAAAAATATTAAAAACTACTGGTGACTGGTACATTTATATACCGTTCTATGTTACGTCGGTATTTATTTATAACTTAAAATGCACTTAAAATACATTGTGTTCTGATAGTTCCAAGAATAGTAGGTACCAACTGTCAACTATCAATATGTTACTATCAGACATTAGATTCAGTGCCGGATCTAAGTCTCAGAAAATTGTGGTGAAACTACTAATATTGGGGACCTTTTTATAAAAAACAAATTCTATAAATAAATATACATATTATGATGCGTAAATTATATATTTTTTGGTGATTTGTTAAAAGTGATTGAATTTACATTATTGATAATAGTTTCGGTGTATCTAATTATGATATTATATTCATAACGTATATATGAGTTTGGAACGAACATAAAAAAAAAAAACTTTCTAGTCTTCAAAACAATAAGTAGTTTCCTTATAGATATATTATAGATTAATAAACGTGTATTGTTGCTCTTTGGAAAACAAAATTCCAAAATTAGTAGTTGTTTATATAGGTACTATAGTGTTTCATAATATATATATATCATTACCATTGTTTCTGAGATTAGGGAAAAAATTATTAATTTGATGAACCCAGAGAAAATAGAAAAGTTAGGTATTATCTGAGTCATAAATCAAACGCCGAATCATCAACATATGGCGAGTACATACGTATTTTACGGAACGCCACTTAAGTGCCCAGAATTTGAATATAATATTAATGACACGTTAGTATCCTCAATGTAGCCAGAAATTGCAATCGTCGACACCGAAATTCAAAAGGAAAGGAAAAGGAAGTAGAAAAAATGACATACTGTGGCTAGAGAAGGACTAACAATAATTTAAAAGTGTAGAGAATGGTCAAATTCGTATGTACAAACGTAACAGTGATATCGGCGCGCTGAAAACCCAACATTCATGGAGGTTTTCGTTCGACATGCTTGCAGTCATCGACAATGGAGTGAACAATAAGCAGGGCGTCGTTGTGAAAGGATTAAAGGATATCGATAAACTGGATCCACAGTGTAATCGTTCATCTTTCTTGTTGACCGTACGAAAATATTTTCGAAAAATCTGCCGGATGTTGTTCTGCGGCTATTGCAGCAAGTACAAATAAAATCAATACCTTCCCCCCTTCAATCACAGGTACGTACCGGTACGATCCTGTTTACTATCGTAAAGGTTAAGTAAACAAACTGTGTTGCAGTATCAACATACCGACTACCCTTGTATATGTGTTTGTCCTGCAGTTCTATTCTTCTGGTAAAGTTAAATTATAAATAATTTTCCTTTTTGTACAGGTACATATACCTTATTAATTTTTTACATTTTTAGATATAGCAGTATAGCATCTAGTGTTTTTTTTTTTTGATATGCTAAAATACTGAATTTTTATCAGATAAAAAAATTTTATACACAACATTTTTACATTTTTTGTATAGTAGGTATCCATACAATTGTTAGGTTAGTGACTATAGTATACCTACTATAATGGAAATACAACATCCGTTATAAAAGATAATACAGAATTACTTTTTCTTTAGGATTATTGTATTGGTGAAATGAAACTTTATTATTATTTTTATTCAACGAAAAGCAGTCTGTTACAAAACATCGTTTTGGTTTTTTAATCTGTTTTAATTTATTTATACTAATTTTAAACAAGAAAATAAAATAAAAATAAAAAAAAGATTCAAACATGATTGCATATAATTTTGGTCATTTAATATTTAGTATTTATTTATGTATAACATTTAAGTTCAAATATTTTATTTGGTAAAACAAACAAAAAAAAACATGATTTACATTTTTTTTTTAAATACGATTTGTGCAATACGGTTGTGACGTAATTTTAGTATTTTTTAGGATGTGTACAATTATTTTTAAATGTAGAACAAAATTAATTTATTTTAGTTAACGACAAAATAGAAATATTTTATGAGTTAGAAAGTAAATACCTACTTGTAAGATGTAGCATTCAAAGTAGCTAAACTTGTTCTATTTATAATGGAAAATTGTAGTGTCACTCTTACTAAACACGAAAAATAATGAGTTCACTATACGCGATAGCATCACTCCAAAAAAGGTGTGCTCTGCTACCTGAAACGTACTAGTGTCGTTAGCTAAAATTTAGTAAAAATAATTAGTATGATTTATATTTTATGCAATATTTAAAATGTCTTTTAAAAAGTTATTTCATTACAAATTATGTTATTTAATTATTGTAATTACTAACTAATTTACGATCGCTATGTTACTTACACAACTAATTAACACTAAAAATAACATGCGTACAGTGTGTATGATATATAACATACTCGAATAAATTGTAATGTAAGGATCGTCCGATCGTGTACATATTAACAATAATTTTCTTTTAAAATATATCAAAATTGAATATTTATATGCGTGCAATGCAAATGTACTCTGCGCTTATGACAAATGTGATGTAAAAAAGTTGTGCATAGGTATTTATGTCGCGCACGTCGTTTCTATTATTTTGAGTGGTTATATTATTAAAATACATTAACACGTGAACAATACTGATGAGTTACGTATGAGTTCATATAATAAAGTAGGTGCAATAAGTACGTAATATAATATTATGCGATAATTTTATGTTCCACATTTTTATATTCTTT